ATTTTACAGCAGCTCTTAGAATGTAGGTGGTAGCATACATTCTTACATAATTTGTTTTATAATCATCTCAAAAATAAAGTCAGCTGGGAATTTTCTAAAAAACTACCAGTTATAAACTTCAGGTATACATTCATAATAAAGTGACCTTTTGGGCCTAAATAACATTTATCCAGAAGGGTTCTGCAAGCTGGGCTTTTGTTTCACTGGTAGACTTGGGGAACTTTAGCCTTCATAAAAGGTACCCTCTGAATTTCTCTAGCCAAAAGCTACTTCTCCTCCATGCCTTCCCATAGTTGAGGCCATAGTATTGATGACATGTATACTCTGTAGTACTACATTTACGTCTGTCCTAGCTCTACTGCTACATTGTAAAACCTCTCAAGGGCAGGAACAGCAGTGCTCATCAACGAATAATAAAAATAACATATTTTAGATTTTTTAGTGCTTTGAGCAGTGGGTATTTTTGAATGAACAAATAATTGTATCTAACAGAAGATGTTCTAAAAAGAGAAAAATTAAAATGTCAAGTGAAAAATGAGTTTATTTTATACCATGAAGGTTAGTCATAATCCATTTCAAGATGGAGTGGGCTGTAGAAATTATCTAATTACAAATCCTCACTAGGTAGATTAGCAAATGGAGGGCTATATCAATTAAGATCTTATAGTTAGTTACTTAGCGGTTCTGTGTTGCCCCTTTCTTTTCAAAAATGGTTAAAATTAAGCATTATATTACGGGTTTCATGTGCCATTGCTGCAAAAATCAAAGTCTAGCCTTGGCGTTGCCAGGATCAGTGAAAATATATTTGGAGCTACTTTGCCAGTTTTAATTCTCAATTTCCACCTCTTATGGTTGCCAAAGAATCATGGTTTTACAGAGTATTTTTTCCCCTTTTATTTTAATGTATCGAATGTATGTAACAGCTGAGATCATTGTACTGTCTGGGGCTGCCTGGGAACTTGATAAATCATCCTGAGATAGCAATGACTGTGTTCGACAACTCCGGAACCTGACTTCTTGGGTTCAAATTTCAGCACCTTGACTTTACTAGTTGGGAAACCTTGGGCAAGTTACTAAATGGTGCCTCATTTATAAATTGAGTTTGGGTAATAACAACTAATTTATAGAATTGTTAAGAGAGAGAAATTAGGGCTTTTCTGGAGCATTGGAAATGGTCGGTAAATGTTCACTGTTATGATCTTTATGGAATTCCAAATAGCTTGAGCTACTTTTCAATCAGTATTTTCCTTTTATTGGTCAGGAGAATGTTTAGTGAAATTTTCTCCAAGATTTCATAATAAAGACAATGATGGAGGTAGAATTTTATTGGGATCTGGAAGATTTGAATATGTAAACATTGGCTATGAGGAAATAATGTGAGTAAATTCTGATGGGCAGAAACCTGGGTTTATCTCAAGAACAGTGGTCATTTAATTTAACTGCAGTGTAAGTTGCTCCCTGGGGGAGAAGTGGGAGATTCAGTAGAAATGGAGATTTGGAGGTAGCCCATGGGGACCTGAAATGGCAGGCCAAGGAGTTTGGATTGGGGACCTGTGAGTACCAAGATCCCCTTGACAGCAAGGTGGAGGGAGGAAGTATTAGAGAGGGCGAAATCAAGTCAGGGAGGCCAGTCGGGAGGCTGTTGAATTAGTAGGAATAGAAATATGGAGGATAGTATTGATAAGACTTCAGAGTTGATGGTGAGAGGGAAGGTGGTCTCAAGCATGGGTAAGTACTATTAACAGAAATAGGGCACTCTGGAGAAGGGGTGAGTTTGGGGTAGAGGAATATGATTTCAGTTGCATGAACATCAAGTTTGAAGTACAGATAGGACAACCCAAGAGAACTATTCCTCTAATAGAAATTCAGAACTGGATGCCAAGCGGAGTTTAGTATTAGAGATAAATTCAGTGAGCCATTTCCAGATGTGTTAGTGTTAATGACATGGGAGTATATGCAGTTCCCTGAGACTGGGCCTGAACACTCAAAAAAGACCCCACAATCCTTGGCTTGTGGCAGCTAAGGCAAGGGCTACAAAATGCTGGACAGGAGGAATGCGGTTCAGCTGCTGTGCTGGAGGCACTGGCTAAGGTGCTCAGAGCGGCCCCGGCACGTCCTCCAGTGCTGTTCTCTCCTGTTCTAAGCCTGTTCATAAACCAGAGGAGGAACTTCTTTTTACCCTTCCCTCATCACGTACTGATGGGCAGTGACTCTCGGGTTTCCTTTAATACTGGGCAGAGAATTAGGCTCAAATTATGAAATGTAAAAACTGAATTCTAAAATTTACGTATTCTATCTATATTACAGTGTTAGAAGACACACTCTAAAGATATACCTTTAAATTTCAAAAATGTCAAGACCAAACCGTTTTATAACCCTTCATTTTGTATGTGGTTTTCAATGGGTATAAAAATACTTAGTGGGTGTGTGGGTGGCTTCTCGTGTTTTGGAAATGGTGAGAATATGAGATGCTGAGCTTTGGGTTCTGGGATGAGAGCTATAATTACAAACTCTGATTCTTTCCCAGGATTGGTTTATAGGTGGATGGCTGGTATCTAAAAACCCAGCGATACAGAATCCAGAGCAATAAACCATTCTCCTCTCCCCCTGAAATTAAAAAAAATACCGTGGCAGAGGAGAGAGGGAATGTAGGAGGGTGGCTCTGCCCTGCCTTGTCTCTTTCATGCCATTCACGGACGGTTGAAGTCAGTGACGCAACAGAAGGGTGCTAGGTGCTGCAGGGCGGAGAGGGGGAAGAAGACTCAAGAAATCCATAAAACTAATGGAGGAGAGGAAACCAGCTCATGTGCTGAGAAGTTTTAAATATGTTGCATTTATGGTGGGTAGAACCATGGCTTCTCCTAGTCTGATACAACAGCTTCTGCACAGCTTGATGGAAAGAGTTCTAAAAATAACCCAGGACTCATTTCAAACCCTCCTCCCCTAGTCTTGGCGGATGTGGTAAACACCCTAAAAATACCTGCTGTCTGAACCTTTGAGGTATCTAAAGAGGAAGGGACAGGTATGAGAATTGGGGCTGGAAGAAGTACAGTATTGTTGGAAGGCTTGCCCAGCTGCAAGGACTGCTGCCCACAGGGGCCTGCCCTCAAAGCTGTTTGGTGAGCTGCCTACCATGCCATCCTGTTCACGGATAAGTGCCTACTCTTGAGTCTCATATTCACTGTTGGCAGGTTTCAAGGAAACTATTCATAGACTAGACATCTGTTGTCTGTCCCATTGACCTCAAACTGCAGCTGCCACCATGGTATTCAGGCAGTGTGGTGGCTTTTAGTCTTATTTCACAGAATTAGAATTTTAGAGTTGATATGGACTTTAGACGTTTTATTATTTTTAAAACCATTGAAGTCCATTTCTGGAGTTACATTTCTGTGCCTATATGGTGACCACAGACATATGAAATGGAGTTTTAGTCCTTGCTTATCAAAAGAAATCACCTCTTGATTGTGTAATGTAAAAATAGGGTAACGAAAACCAGTCTTTTGAAAACGTTGACTAAGTGACCCTGTGCAAAGCCTGTTTTTTTGAGACAGAGTCTCGCTCTGGTATCCAGGCTGGAGTACAGTGGCATGATCTTGGCTCACTGCCACCTTCACCTCCCGGGTTCAAGCAATTCTTTTGCCTCAGCCTCCTGAGTAGCTGGGATTACAGGTGCTCACCACCATGCCTGGCTAATTTTTGTATTTTTAGTAGAGATGGAGTTTCACCATGTTGGTCAGGCTGGTCTCAAACTCCTGACCTCATGATCCTCCCGCCCTGGCCTCCCAAAGTGCTGGAATTATAGGCGTAAGCCACCACGCCCAGCCTTTTTTTCTTTTTTTAATAAAATGGAACGTTGAAGCTGAGTGTGGTGGCGCATGCCTGTAGTCACAGCTGCTTGGGAGGCTGAAGCTGGAAGGATCACTTGAGCCCAGGAGTTTGAGGCTGCAGTGAGATATGATCATGCCACTGCACTCCAGCCTGAGTGACAGTGCAACCCTGTCTCCAAAACAAAAATAAAAATAAAAATAAAAATGGAGCTTTGAGGATCATTTTCTCATCTGGACTCCAATATTTTGAATATGAAGTTCATTGACAACACAGCCAGAACCCCAGGAGTCCTGTCTTCAAGGAGAAGACTTCCAGTATCTAATTTCTGAAATTACAAACTGTAACCATGATATTATAACTGAGGGACTGTAGCTGATTTATGCATCTTGAGGAAAAATTTCACAGATTATCTCCAGTAACCACGAGATGCATTCAAAGTTGTGGGGGCAGTCAGTACCATTTTATATAACAGCATAAATCGCCCAATGATTTTATGTTCACTTCCAACCATATCCTGTATGATTTTTAAATGTATAACTCCCTTACCCCAGTCTCAATCAATAAACTTTGCAAAAGTCCAGCAGTTACAGAGCCTGTGCTAGGAGCTGCAGGGTGGAGAGGGGGAAGAAGACTCAAGAAATCCATAAAACTGATGGAGAAGAGGAAATGAGCTTATGTGCTGAGAAGTTGTAAATATGTTGCATTTATGGTGGATAGAGCATTGTCATAATTGTAAGGAGTGTGTATCTTCCACTGTGAGCTTTTCAAAGCCCTTTTATGTATCTGGAAGAGTGTTAAGTATTATTTAACTATGAGTTGACAGTAAATTAAAAGTTTTTCTTGAGCAATGAAAGTGATCAAGACGGCTGGAGGTTTTTGTGGGTTTTTTCGGTCACTTAATGAGTATCTGAAATTGTCACCTCTAGAAGCTCAAATTTCCCTGGACCAGGACACTTGTAACAACGAATGAAATACCCAGGGAGATGGTGTGCTTTGGGAGACTGTGGTTTTGCAGAAAGAGCATGGCTTTGGAGCTGTTAGTGCCCTCAGCTGTGTAGAAGCCAAGGCAGCTGTGGGGGTCTCCTTTTTCCATGCATGTCAAGGGAAGAAGAAGAGAGAACATAGTGTTTGTGATATGTGATATTTAAGTGGCATGTTTCATAGACACCCAGATCTTTCTCCTCTGAAATTCCAGAATGAAGAGCTTCGAAACTTGTCTTTGTCTGGCCATGTGGGATTTGACAGCCTCCCTGACCAGCTGGTCAACAAGTCTACTTCTCAAGGATTCTGTTTCAACATCCTTTGTGTTGGTAAGTTATTCATCACCTGCACAGCAAGAAGTTTGATCCTTAGATATTGACAGGTGACTGTCAGAGAGACATGCTTCAATGAAATCAGAATGATTCATTTATTCTCTTTTTTTCATCAGTAAAGCAAGGTAAAATATCTGTCTTATACATGTCACAAGTCATAAAGACTGAGAGCTGTATTTAGGTAAATGCATTGTACGTTTTGTCACATTACTCAAATTACTATTAGTATTTCTGTCACACAGTCAAACAACTGATCAGTACAATACTGTTAAGATCCCTTAAAGATTTTACTCTGGACTAGGTCTTTGCCTTGGTATTTTTCTTTACCCCTCTAGCCATATCCTTGTTTGTTTGTTTGTTTGTTTGTTTGTTTGTTTTGAGAAGGAGTCTTGCCCTGTTTCCTAGGCTGGAGTGCAGCGGGGTGATCTTGGCTCACTGCAACCTCTGCCTCCCAGGTTCAAGCAATTCTCCTGCCTCAGCCTCTTGAGTAGCTGGGATTACAGGCATCCACCAACACGCCTGGCTAATTTTTTGTATGCCTTATTTTTTTTTTGAACCAAGAAGAGAAAGGTAAAAAAGAAGGGGGATAAAGAAAATCAGAATATAAATCTTCTGTTAGTTTGAAGGAGAAATGTGTGTGGACCAGATAACAGCCATTCTTCTCTCTCCCCATCACACCTGATGAATGGCAGGTTAAACAGCAGTGAAGTGGTTTGGGGTATATTGTGTTGGCATTGTCCTCTGGGCATATTCCTATGAGACATCACTTTGAGACAGACCAAAGAATTCTGTATGTAGTCAAGTGGACCATCTTTTCCCTAAGCTTGGCAGAATGTGTCAGACTTACTTTTCTTGTCCAAGTAAAGCGAACAGAATTTAGAAAAGGTGTGTGTTCAATGTGAGAACCACCATTTACTTATTTGTTATTTATGGAAGTTAGGGGGAGTACAGATATTTTTCTTTTTAAAAAACTTCTTGAACTTCTTGATGACTCTACTGCATGTAGCCTCTGCACTAGGCATTCATTAGGAGAAAGCCACAATTGGCAGGCACACTAGACCAACTTGCTCCCTGGCATTATATCTTAAGCACTGGATAAGAGAAAGACTGGAGAGAAACATGACCACAGCAGCCAACTTTCATCTCAGGCTTTCCCCTTTTCCCTACATGAAGGCTTTTAAAATTCAGCAGGAGATCTCCCGAATGGCAGCTAGTGCCACAGAGTGGTATGAATGGGTTGTCCTTTGTCTCATGATAAACGTTCATTTCAGAGCAGAGCAGTTCTTCATTAGCATAGCAATTTGTTGGCAATTTGTTGGTTTTCTATTGAAAAGTATGCTAAGTTGTAATACCAGGCCAGTTACTATTCAGGCTTCTCTTCTGTGCCTCCCCAGTCCTGTCTCCAAAATCAGCTTTAAGAACATAGCTGAGAGTTCTGTCCTGGCTTCTGCAGGGGACAGTAGGGGGAAAGCCTTCCGGTGGGATCCTGGTTTAGTTGGATACGTGGTGTGCAGTGGGGTGTGCTGGCTCACGGGCTGGCTCCTTGTGTTAAATAGGACAGTTTGGATGCTGAATTCCTCAGAAGCCAAATCGGTACTGCCATGTTAGACGTGTAAAACAGCCCTATTCGGAGTCTCCTGGGTAGGTTCCAATACCTGTGATTGTTAGATGTTTCTTCAGGTTCTATTCTTAAACATGTTTAAAATTAGTTTTTCAAACTAATGAACATAATATGCACTTGTTGTTTAAAATGTTATAAAATGCTTCCCTTTCATCTCCCACCCCCATTTCCATTTCACGGAGATAACACCGTGGGATCTTTCTAGAGACTTTCGACATCTTTCTGTATTAGGAAATTGCTTTTGGTGGCTTCTGGTTCTGTAGGTAGGAGTCCAGTATGGGTCTGCAGGGCTGCATTCCTTCCTGGAACCTTTAGGGAGAGTGCATGCCTTCTCCACCTTCCGGAGGCTGCCTGCATTCCTTGGCTCTTGGCTCCTTCCATCCATTCTCAAAGCCAATCATGTTGCATCACCCTCCTAGTATTCTTGTTTTAGGAAATTTTCCACAGAGAATAGCAGAAAGCCAGCTTAAGTGCAGCTAAGATTCTCCCCCACCCTCCAACACACACTGAAGAGGTAATATCGTGAATTGGGTAATTAAGAGCAGCTGGCTCTAGGAGTTCCAAGAGCCCCGTCAGGCCTCTGTCTCTGGTTCTTGATCCTGCTTGCTTCACATTCAGGCATTTTCTCACAACAGCAGCCTGGCTCCGTCAGTATCACCAACCGAGCAACCTCAGGGGAAGGAACAAGGCATTCCTGACACGTCTCACCCAACAGTGAGGATTTCACTGATTGTCCAGGACTCAGTCACGCACTCAGCCTGGGGGGAAGATGGGGTCCGATCACTCCAAAACTCACGAGGTTCCCCATAGGCAAGAAGACAGGGACAGAAAGGAGATTGGGCTTGGGAGAGAGACACGTAAAAACAGATTTCTCACAGTTACATAGGTGTTCTTTTTGTTTTGCTTTTGCACAAATGAGATCATGCTGTTCATCTTGTGCATTTTCTTTTTTTCGCTCCACAGGAAGTCCTGGATACCCTTTGTTGTCAATATATCTAACGCTCCAGGTCTTTTTCCATAACCCTTTGTAGCCCTTTGGGTGGGGCCAGCATGAGCTCTTTGGGAGATAGGAGTATCAGCATTAAATATCTTTCTCAGAGAGTTGAATATCAAATCCTTTTGCCACAGATATTTTATGGCATAATATCTGTATAAGAAAAAACTGTCAATCAATAGTCCATCTATTTTTAAAGAGTCTATAAAAAGTAGATCAAAATATTTGGACAGCCACATAGAGGAGTAGGTGTTATATTTAACTTAAGAGCATCCATGGTAATTTTTCCTCCTTACTTACTCCTTTCCTCTTACTGCCCATTTGTAGTTTTTGCACAGTATGCACATGTGTGATATTTATAGCATGAATTTATGTTCTTATGATAAAATATGGGAGGGAAGTAAGGATGAAAAATAGTTATGATCCCAGTAAGGAAAATTTTTACCAAAAAGATCTCAGAATTGTAATTTTGTTTTGTGGCATGAGCCTGTAGGTTGAAAGAAAGCACAGGAAATAAACCGGGGCAGAAAATGGTCCTGGGACGAGCTTTGTCCAGTTTCTGAATTAAATGTCTGCTGCTAGAACCCATCTCTGTTGGTCCTGGGAAGAAATGTAATAGAGGAAGAGTAGTTTTCATTTCACTGGGAAGAGAATTCTGATGCTAAATGAGATAAAAGAAGACCTAGGAGTTCATTTCCCTATTCTCTGTTTTGCCACAACACACCCAAATCACCCCTCAAGCTACATTTTAGTTTAAATAAAGCCTTTCATATTTTACCCATACTGTATTTCTCCAGAGAATCTAAATTAGATCTAAATTAGCATTTAGTCCTTTTCCATAATTTTAAATATGTATGTCTTTCTCATCCATTTTCCAAAATGATGTGAACTCTATGAAAAAACCTCATCAACATTGATCCAGCTGTCTGTCCGTTCCTTGTGAACATACAAAGGTGAATAAGATACTGTAACATCTCTGCTTCTGAAGACGAGCCAGTTTGATAGTAGAGTCAAAGTAAATTAATAATACATTTTGAAATAGAAAATTTTTCCACAATTCAACCTTAATTGTTTTGAGGGGATGAGAGAACAGGAATTGAAAACAGGTAAGTTGAAGGCCATTTTAGCCAAGGCTATAGTGTCAACAGTTTTGTGGAATTTTACAATCAAATCTTAAACATTTTTATCCCATCTTGTTTTTCCAGGAAAGGATGTAAATGGGTTACAGGGTAAAAGGAATGAAGATGAAATTAACCCCAGAAAATAAAGGTGAAGCCAGGGATAGAGTCAGAACTCAAAGCCCGCCATCAGGCCTGCCTATAGCAATTAATTGATGCAGTATTACATTTTTCTCTCAGTTTAGTGGTCAGAGCATGGAGAAAATTTGTTAATTCACTCATTCATTTAACAGATATTAAGTGAGCATGTGTTATATACTAAACACAAGTAAAAAGTTTAACATGACAGATTTATAGTATCTATAAAGTAAAAACAAAATTATTGCTCCAGATGAAACACAGTTTTACATGGAAAAATTTCTCCACGGATTTTCACAAAAGAGATTTGGTAGATGTAGTGGCCTGGGTTCCTGGGCATCCTCTAAGTCAGTGCAATTGTTTAATGAAATGCCAGGTGTCAAACACTGGCCCATCTTAAGACAGAGTATGTTTCATCAAAGGTGATTCTATGAGGAACAGTAACAACACATCTTAGATATGTAGGTTTCTGATTCTTTGATTCCATCCAAGAGTAAAATCTAGAATATTTAGGGAAGGCAGGCAGATCCCCATGCACAATTACTTACCCAAGTAGTCAGTCTTGGCAATTAGAGTAAAAGATGCAGAATGACGGATCAACAATTTGTTCTGTCCACAGTTACCTTCTAATTAATAATACAGTCCTTCTGTCCCCGCCCCCACCTTGTTCACCTTGGATCTCGTGGGTTAAATAAGCCTGAGAACAGAATGGAAAAGGTAGGACTGCTTTCCCCTGTGATGTGGGCCTCAGGTTCACTAGCATTGGCAGGAGCAGGAAAAACAGAAGCTCCAGAAAGCACTCAATCGAGTCTCTAAGTACTCTAACAATAAGAGTGTTTAGGCAGATGAATTTATGATAGACTAAACAACAGACTCTGAAAAAATCTACCACAGTAGCAGATCTCTGTGTAAATTATCACCATGATCATTTTTGTCAATTAACTTTTTTTTTTTGAGATGGAGTCTCACTCTGTCACCCAGGCTTGAGTGCAGTGGTGCAATCTCCCCGCTCACTGCAGCCTCCACCTCCCAGGTTCAAGTGATTCTCCTGCCTCAGCCTTCTGAGTAGCTGGGACTACAGGTGCATGCCACCATGCCTGACTAATTTTTGTATTTTTAGTAGAAATGGGGTTTTACCATGTTGCCCAGGCTGGTCTCAAACTCCTGACCTCAGGTGATCTCTCTGCCTCAGCCTCTCAAAGTGCTGGTATTACAGGCATGAGCCACCATGCCCAGCCCTCAATTAACTTTTAATAAATGTCTCCTTTGTGCCAGGTACTCTGCTAGGGAGTTTTGAAATACTTTAATGTGGGTCACTGATTTTTCTGAAAATACTGTTATGGTTGTTTGGTTTGAATTGGAACCTATGCCTAGTAGGCTTTTAGTTATTCAGTTAGAAAGAAATTTTTGTCTTATGGGTCCTCAAAAGCATAGATGAGATCGTGCTTACAAAGGTTTGAGATGAGCCTCAAAAACTAATCCCCGTGCTTCAGGAGGCCAAGGTGGGAGAATTGCTTGAGCCCAGGAGTCTGAACACAGTGAGAACACATGAGAACACAGTGAGACCCTGTCTGTTAAAAAAAAAAAAAAAAAAAAAAAGCTAATGCATTGAAAAACTTCCTTAGTTCTTCTAGAGTTCCTTTTATTCCAAAAGCTGTCATTTCCTGCTGAACTGCTTTTGGTGAATCACACTGCTGCTGGAGTTGCCGTGTCTAATTACAGCTCTTAAAAGCACAGAGCATAGAAATGGAAAGCAAAGCACACCGAAGTTTAGAGAACAGTGGTTTTTTTCAACCCATTGATTAACCTTCTGCTATAAGTAGGGCCTGGTATGCTAATTGTTTGTAATTTCTACCTTAATGTAAATGATAATTAAAATTACCATGCCTTTAAAAAAAGTATGGTGTTCCTGATTCACATGGGTGCTTAAGTAATTTTTAACCTAGTAAAATGAGATGATAATTTCAGTCCTGTCCAGGTAACCTGGAATCCTTGCCATGTAATTCAAGTCTTTATTGCTATTCTTAGGGAAGGAGATGAAAGTTAAGTAGGTCACTTTCTACTGACAGAGCCTTTCCCATAAAGGAGAAAGTTTTATAGGCAGATCTGCTTTTGTGCCTTTTCTGTTCTAAAAATAGGTAAATCCTGAAAAGAAGTTGGCCCTGCTTGAGAATGTTACACTTGTAGCATATACTTAAAATGACTCAAGTACCTTCAGTATTGACTACCAGTGAGAACCCTGTTTTATTTCTGTATCCACTACACAGTAACTTTGTTTTGCGCAAAGTTAATTTGTTAAGCCATGAATGGTGAGTGTGAACTTGTTACACTCTTTCAGGTTAGGGAGCAGAGACTGGTTTTATATGAACTTTATGGACGGTTGTTTTTGTAAGACTATTCAGCAAAGTAAAGAAGACAGGAGGGCCGGGCGCGGTGGCTCACGCCTGTAATCCCAGCACTTTAGGAGGCCGAGGCGGGTGGATCACGAGGTCAAGAGATCGAGATCATGCTGGTCAACATGGTGAAACCCCATCTCTACTAAAACTACAAAAAATTAGCTGGGCATGGTGGCGCGTGCCTGTAATCCCAGCTACTCAGGAGGCTGAGGCAGGAGAATTGCCTGAACCCAGGAGGCGGAGGTTGCGGTGAGCCGAGATCGTGCCATTGCACTCCAGCCTGGGTAACAAGAGCGAAACTCTGTCTCAAAAAAAAAAAAGAAGACAGGAAACAGTCTCAACTGCTGCACAGGCAGACCCCATAGAGATCTGGAATGACATTCAGGATGTTACAAAAGTGCAAACAGTGTCGGTTGTCTGTTTTTATTCATTACTTCATCACTGCACCTCTGCTTGTCACACAGTGAACACCGAAGCATTAATTTCATGATGGATTTCTAATACTATACCCAATCTATCTGCTCTGTCTCCTGTATTCTCAGCCTACATTCTGTCTGCAGCATGGCTTCTGTTTACTTACAGCCTTTACTGCCTCATAGCTTCTGCTTACTTACCTCTCTTTGCACATCGTTTCTTTGTCATGCCATCACCCTGTGTGGGGATTACATGTATCTCATTCAAATGCCCAAAGAGAAAAATTGTGATTGGATAGACAGGCCACTCTCCAATGCGGAGCCCCAGCTCATAGCAAAATGCTTGGGCTTCTGTGGTTACGTTTAGGTCAGGGACCTAGCCAGGGTCTAGTTGTCTGTGGTCACCTAGCAGGGTCATGGGTGTAAAGGATGGTCTTGCTTGTAAGAGGAAAGTGGTTATGGCAACACTTAGAATGCTGTTCCCATAATAAAAAGTTAGAGCCTGAGTAGTATTACTCGGTCATGTTCTAGACCAGATTCTAAGATGTGGGAGAACACCACATCAGGGTAGTTCTCTGAATTCCCAGAACTTGGCACAGAACTTGGACATAGTAGGCACTGAAAAAATACTGGCTGAATGAAGGCTGACTAAAGAGGAAATTCTGTGATCTTAGATGTTCAGGGTATAACAGGAAAGGTTAAAGAGTAAGGTGACTGCACTTGACCAGCTTTTGTCCTGTAAGTGAATCATCATAGTTAGAGGCAAGCCATATAAGGATTTTCTAATCAGAGGATGCTCAAATCCAGAAAAACTTCATCCTCCTTCACTTTTGCATTGTGTTGGAAAGCAATGAGTACACAATATGGAATTTGTAACTAGTAAGTAGATTTTGTCATTATAGTGAGAGGGTTGCCCAGAGCTTTTCTTTTCTCCACAGAACACCATCATCCTGAAAGTCATCACGGAAATCCTTAGAGGAGGGGATGCTCCCAGGGACACATTGGGATTAGGAGTTGTTGAAAGGGCTGTTCTATATTGGCAAGTTTAAATTGAGCTAGAAATCTAATTGAGAAATTTTCCAAATTGAAAAAGGAAAAAGGCATCCGTAGGGCTAATGTTTCTGGATTTCGACTTCCTTTTCTCCATCATCACATTCTCAATCACCACCACCACAGACATAAGGCTGGATTTTTTCTCATTGCCAGCTGTCTTTGACTCAATATAAAAATAGAATTAAGATAGAATTTTGCCTGGTGTTATTTGGAGGGTTGGGCTGCAGTTCTTCATAGCTCCACATTTATGTGTCACCAGGTGATTGGTATAGTGGTTCCAGATACCTGCCACTCTGCTTTGCACATATGAGGCCTCAGTAAACACTTACTGACTTGAATTATCAGTGTAAATAATAATTATCAGTGTGAATAAGGCTATTGTTTCAGGTCATTTAACATTTACTTTCATTGTCACAGACTTCACTCTGAAGCTGGAAAAACTATCACCCTGAAGCTGGAAAAACTAACATGTTTGGCATCTTGACTCCAGATGGATAAAGAAAAATAAAAAACGGCATAGAGGGATTAACATAACCACAACTGGAAAATGTTGGGCTGTCAGTTTTCTCTGTAATAGTAAAGTCAGGCTGTTGTGTTGGTTGAGTGCAGGTGTTGGAACCATATAGACTTCGGTTAGGACCCTGGTTTCACCACTTAGCAATGACTTTAAGCAAGTTCCTCATAAATCTTATCTAAGCCTAGTGTCCCATCTTGAACATGGAGGAAACAGTAGTGCCTATGTCATGCCAGTAGTAGTAGGGTTTAAATGAGGTAATGTGGCTGGGCAAGGTGGCTAATGCCTGTAATCCCAGCACTTTCGGGGACCGAGGCAGGTGGATCGTTTGAGGTCAGGAGTTCGAGACCAGCTTGGCTAACATGGCAAAACCCCGTTTCTACTAAAAATACAAAAATTAGCCAGGCGTGGTGGCAGGTGCCTGTAATCCCAGCTTCTAGGGAGGCCGAGGCAGGAGAATTGCTTGAACCTGGGAGGCGGAGGTTGCAGTGAGCTGAGATCTCACCACTGGACTCTAGCCTGGGTGACAGAGTGAGACTCTGTCTCAAAAACAAATTAATAAATAAATAAAGGAGATAATGCACTAGAAGCTCTTGCCACAGGGCCTGGCACAAAGTGAGCACTCAGTGACGTTAGTTATTATTGTCGTCAAGAGTGTTATTTTGGATAATGTAATTCTTTTCAATGACATGGTATCATATTGATGTTGAATTAACTGATCTTTTAGGTAATTCAGGGTAAATGGAATCACTTGTTTCAAGCAACAGAAATTCAACGGTATAATCTTTTGTCCCTTAAGTAATATGGTTTTATACTTGTAACATTTAGGAGAGAAAGAGGTAAAGTTCATGTTCTTGTAATATGAAAATTGAGCACAGGCAAACTTATAATACTATTTTTTTTTCTTTTTTTTTTTTTTTTTTTTTTTTTGGAGCTGGAGCCTCACTTTGTCACCCAGGCTGGAGTGCAGTGGTGCAATATTGGTTCACTACAACCTCCGCCTCCTGGGTTCAAGCGATTCTCCTGCTTCAGCCCCCTGAGTAGCTGGGACTATAGGCACATGCCACCACACCTGGCTAATTTTTGTATTTTTATTAGAGATAGGGTTTCACCATGTTTGCCAGGATGGTCTTGATCTCCTGACATCATGATCCACCTGCCTTTGCCTCCCAAAGTGCTGGGATTACAGGCGTGAGCCACCGTGCCCGGCCTACAAGTACTGTTTTTTTATCCAGAGGTAAAGAAGAATCTCTTGATCTGTAAACTTGAGATCCTCTCTGCTAAATAGTTCCTGAAATTCACTGAGGCATTTTTAGGAAAATATTCCATAGATGACACATAGAAAGAACTAATTATCTCTTCACAGTAGCATTTCTGGTGATATATATTTTTTAACTTTATAATCATGACTAATGAAAAACATACTGAGGAATTGAAGTGATGTTTGAGAGACATTGACACATTCTCTGACTTTTCTTTTGTGGTTGTGTAGGTGAAACAGGCATTGGCAAATCCACATTAATGGACACTTTGTTCAACACCAAATTTGAAAGTGACCCAGCTACTCACAATGAACCAGGTGTCCGGTTAAAAGCCAGAAGTTATGAGCTTCAGGAAAGCAATGTACGGCTGAAGTTAACCATCGTTGACACCGTGGGATTTGGAGACCAGATAAATAAAGATGACAGGTACATCTTGGGATTTTGTGGGGACATAAATGGATGAGGAGATAGCAGGATCCATTCCAGGTAAATTTAAAGGCCAAATGTTTTGGGGGCTCTTTAGTTGTGGGGGTTGGTCCTCTATTGCCTAAAAGATGTGACATTATTGTCCTCTGAGAATTTTTCTGAGAACGTTCTTCCTTGAGGTCAGAATCAGGTAACAAAATTGATCCCAGCTAGTAGGAGCAGAAAAGGGATTTATTAGAGGGACTCAATTAGCTTACAGCATTTTTCCAGAAAGGCCATGAAACCAAGTTTGGGGCTTTCCTACCAGGAAAAGCAATCTAGAGAAACACCCAGCCACCCCACAGAACAGTTTTAGCAGAAACCCCAGCCATCAACCACTTCATACTGCTTGGGGAGCCAGGACATTGGAGGGGAGGTCTCTAGAAGTTCCACCAAATCTGCCCCAGGTAACCAAATGCCTTCACCTTTGCTTGCTATATAATGATAAAATAGTATCTGAGTTTTTATAATGTACCCCATTTATAAAGCCAAGTAAGTTTGGGTCTTTACCATGAGTTGCTCTTTGCTCTTATCTGAGGGAAGTTTCTAATTCTTAAAATTTCCTGGCATATAACCCATGTTAGTCTTAGTGTCAAGATTTTGTTCACATTCCTTCTTGAGCACTAATTCTGTTTATCAGTCTTAACCTCAGATGTCTTATGACTATTTTAAATAGTACATTCATTCTCAAAAAAAGTTTGAGAAAGTTAAAACTGTCCCAGGCCCAAAGGTGATTGTAGAATGGGGCTTCCAGAAATGTATATTGCCTAGATACATTTTAACTATTCCTGATATAAATATGAGCACCACAGTAATGATAATATTTAATTCATTCGTTAGCTGAGCACCAAGCTCTTTATTTTATCTATAGAGCACTTCAAATGCTCTTCAGTAGACATTGTCCTGTGATAACAGGAACAATTGTTAGATAGAGTGAGAAAGATTTTACTTTACATCTGGCCAAAATAAACTATCTGTACATTGTGTTGGGGCAGGGGACAAGTTCGGCTCTGACACTACAGCTGAGCAGTTGCTCTTAATGTATGACCGCAATTACAAGGAATGATGGAGAGGCCCCTGCCTGAAGGCTGTTTGTTATGCCAAGGGCAGTAAATGAAGAGAAAGCCCTGGTCATAAGGAAAGGGACACAGGTGCATTGTGGGAGCTGGGAAGAGAGCCAGGGGGTTCCAATCGTTGCATAGTCAGAATACTCAGAGCAAGGCCTGTTCACCTCTCAGACAGGTATGGATTTTCTCCTTGGGGTTAGTAAAAATCTTACTTGTGCATTCCTTGATTGGAAGAAGGCAACTGTGCTTTTTCAGGATCCCTCCCCCCAGGAGTGAGAGCCATCCTCCATGTAGCCTCTTGCTGAGATTCCCTGTGCTCTTCCGGCTCGCTGTGGTTGCCTCAGTGCTGGCACTCAATTTTTGCCTCTTCCCTGAGCTGGGACTTTCCCTCAGGCTGCTGGTGGGTTTTCACTCCCCAATCAGCACTCGGCAGCAAACAGCTAGGACAGTGCATATCCTCATATTTGCAGCTGGAGCCCTCCTTAAGAAATGATCTGACTCATTTGGGTCAAATAAGTTTCCAAGGAGATTTAGAAGAGAGGAAGTGTGATATTAACCTAACCTAGATACCAAATATTTTTTTTTCCTCTGAAATTTCTTGAAAGCTATTGCATAACCTCTTTAAATGGCACTTAAAACTCTGTTACCCTGTACCTCAGAAGGTATTGTTGACACTGTTCACTGTGAAGCCAGATGACTTGTTCACAAATCGTTATTTGAACAGGTTCTGCTTCCCTCAAGAAATTGGAAGTGGGATATTCATTTCTGCATCAGTGTGTAACCGTATGGGAAGGGGTGTGCTATTTCTCTATGCCCATGTTGATTTTTACCTATGTTGCGGATTAGGCAAGCTTTTCTGCCATAGAGGCAAGACTTCAAGAATGTCCCAGTTTGTTTACGTAGGCTTTGGACATGTCAGCATTCCCGCATTATTATCTGCCTCAGACCAGGCTAGCTAGAAGGAGGCAGGAAGAGAGATCTAGTAAGGTTTCCTGTTATGTTTAAAAGCACATTTCACTCTTTGTTATTAAAGGGCTTCCTTGTTTTGGCTGTTTGTACTTTTCAGTGGAGAAAGAAAGTGGTCTGGAGAAGAAGGGAAACCAAGTTTTGTTGTTCAACTGGAAATAGAGTAGTCTGACCCACACTGGGGAGATGGGAGGTGGGCTGACCATGGCATATCACTAGCTGTAATGATAGTCAGCCCTCAAAGGCAGAGATGGTTGAAATCCCCTGAGACAGAATCTTAACCTCACCAGATCTTTATCAGAGTTACAAAACAGTAGTGAGATGGACTGTTTGGCCTTTAAATTTTAAGTTTAATCAACTGTATGGTGGAGATAGTCAAGGGATAAGGAAAATTGGCTAACAGACAGCAAGATAAGAAAAAAACATGATAAATGTTTGGTCATATATAAAGTGAAGAGTCAGTCCCTGAATGATGGTGTTGGCCATTTTGCAAGAATGATCAGTGGGTAGGTTGGATGGATGAAAAATGTTGTCTAAAGTACGTTTTTCCATCGGTTTTAGGGTTAGTCTCTGTCATGTTAGTGTGTGTTTGTTTTATGGCTGGAGGTATATGAAGAAAAATGAGTGCTATGTAACAAGGAATATCTCCATGCCTTAAGAAATTTATGTGAGAACATAAGGACTAGATTGGATCTATCCTCCTGTCTTTCCTCTGATTGATATGGCTACAATCCAGGGAAGTTTGAATTGACCAAAAAGAATATAAATAAGTGTCAGTAGAAATGGAGCTAGCAAAAGGCAAAGATGGGATTAAGCTTCCTATCTTTCTGACTTTAGACGCAGAAGTGGAAAGGTTTTGGAGGAAGAGGCAGACAGTTCATCTCATCTATAGCATGATGATCATGAGGACTATAAAACCACTTGGCTGGCTTGAGTCTCAGCAAGAATAAACTATTTCATCAGCATAATTAAATCTTTGACATAGGAAATAGTCATTTTGGTAAATTATTCTCCAGGAATGTATTTTCCTTTTAGTGATTAATAATGGTATGGAAGGTAAAGTAGATGGGATTTTGTATTGATTATGTGTGTGAGGTGAGAGAAGGAGGCTCCAGGTTGAATCCCAGGTTTCTGACTTGGCCAGTGGTGTGGGTGGTGGCCCATTCACCATGCTGAGGAATACGGGGAAAGTGTGGGTTTGAGGGCAGGATGAATAGATCCGTTTTTGACATTTAGTTGGAAGAGCGATTGAAAATATAGGATAAGCATTTGGGTGCATGGTTCTGAGGCTCAAAGGAAAGATCTGGGTTTGAGGTAGAGATTTATGACTTGTCATCAGATAGTTGATGAGTGGAACACAGGAACGAGTGTGATTTTTCCAGAGGGAACACAGATTGAAAGGAAGGGAGATTGAATGATTGGCCAGGACTCTCTAGCAGGAACAGGCAGAAGGAGGCCTAAGATATTAGAGAACAAAGGATGTCTTGAATCCAGTGTGGAAACCATTCCTCACTGCAAAATGAGCGATGTCATGCCTCTCATTATCTTTGGAAGATCAGAATCAAAACCAGAGGCAAGAAGGGAAATTAATAGAAAGCAGAACCAGATTTGGACTACCACTGAGAGAAGGAGGTGCTAAGAGCTAAAAATCAGACACCGGGGAGGCAGGGGAGCAATTGCTGTGAGCTGCTTCTCTTACCCTTGGGGTTAAGAGGGTGCTATGGAAGAGCCCTAATCCCCAAATACCTGCCTCAGTGTCAGGAGACTGAAGGATCAGCCCCAGACTGAAAGGGCAAAGGGGATGGGTGGATCTCATTGGAGTGGCCTGCTCCACTTCCCTACTGGGCATGAGCCCATTAGCAGAACAGATACCAGAAGAGAAGTGGGTGAATGTAAAGTTCCTTTTTTTTTTCTTTTTTAGTTTTTTCTAAAAAGTTTTCTAAAAAGTCAGGCTTGCTTCTATGGTATAGTATACTTCTGTACCATAGTATTCTATTTTATTATATTATTATGAAATAGTTATATTTTACTTTTACATGCCAGCCCTTTACATATATTACATGTATTGGCTCATCTATTTGTCACAGTAGCTCTCTAATAGAACTACTATTTTTGTCCCTGATTTACCTGTGAGGAAATTGAGACACAGAGAGGTTTACTGACTTGCTTAATTAAACCTTGAGCAGCTAGTAAGTTGTGCAGCTGTGTTATGGTTTTAGGCAGTTTGGATTGAATCCATGTTTCTAACCACCATCCTCTATAACTATCTCATTAAATATTATGTAATACATGCCTATATTTCAAGATCAGAAAATATAGAAGAATCTTATTGCTCATTCATTCTTTTTATTGGAATTTTGCCTATTATGATTTGGAACTTCATTATTGCTGAGGTACATTCTATCTTTTTTTTAAAAAAAAACCTCTAGAGATTTTGTCTACTCAAATTGAACCAGTAGATTGTGATAAAATCACCAAGGAAAAATATCAGAAAGCTTTTTATGACTGCTTTCAGGTTTGCTCATAAGTTTGTTGTTATTGTTTATTTTGGGGATGTTTGTTTTTCTTAGGATGTCTGCTGTCATTTTTATTACAAAAGATTTGTGGTTCCCTTTCAGGGGTTTCAGTTTAACTTATGGGTACAAGATTAGGGTGTTGAAAGGTTTTTCTTTTTCTTAAATCTTCAGAAAGGCAGTAAGTTTGGGAGAATTAACTCTTTGTATTCCTAATAGAACAGTCTCTTTGTTGCTAAAACAAACTTCTGAGTAGTCACTTTGGAGACCAGAAAGAATTAGTGGGTTTCCCACAATGACATACTACTTACTTTCTGGACATGTTGTTTATGGAATGTGTATTCCCAATATGCTATTAGTCATTGTATTTATGGTCAGTTAATAGAATCACACATCATTATCCAAAACAGATTTGAATGATTTGGTGAGAAGAGAGGGTTACAACGTTTACCTTTAAATGATGAAGATTTTGAGTTGAAAGGAATCTTAAAGATATAATAGTCTAGGCACATCAGTTCCTAGATGAAGTTATGAATCATGCACAGGGATATGGGAGCACAGAGAGCTCCTGTCTGGAGAAATAGGGCAGAAGACCAGGGAATAGCTCCCAGTAGGTGGTAATGTCATATCCTGAACCACACACCAGTTTCATTTTGTGCACCAATGCCAATCAGTAGGGAGAGGCTGTCACAGTCACTTTTTTCAGATGCATTTTTGAGGCCCAGTTTTGGCCCAGCAGGAAAGAATGCCACAATCTCTTAGCAGTATCTTCCATGGGTGCCCCCTGGGGGAGTGGCAGCATGCTCCACTACAACAAGCTCTGTTTTAGAGGATGATTGTTAGCCAGGAGAAGAGTAGGAAGAAGACAGATCCCGGCAGAGGGGCCAGTGTGAGCAAAGACACAGAGGAAATAAGGGCTTGACACGTTGGGGCTGCAACAAATGGTTGTATGTGGCTGGGATGGGAGGGTGAGCCTGGAGCGCTATTCAGGGATCAGGTGATGGAAGGCCTTGGACACCAAGGTAAGGGCTTGGGCTTTAGCCTTTAGGAAAGAGGAAGCCATTGTGACATTGAATGGAGGATTGTCTACACCAAACTGTGAAAGAGGTTTGAGACTGGAAACATGCTATTTCTGTGTTCTAGCTATAAGCCGATAGTAGAATATATTGACGCCCAATTCGAGGCCTACCTGCAAGAGGAACTGAAGATTAAACGATCTCTCTTCAACTACCATGACACAAGGATCCATGCCTGCCTCTACTTTATTGCCCCTACTGGACATTCACTAAAGTCCCTGGATCTGGTCACCATGAAAAAGCTGGACAGTAAGGTACTTGCTGCCACTCTGGTTATTATCTGCTCTCCTTTCAGATCTTCTTTATCCTAATGCCCCAATTTATTCTCTGTTTTCAGTGTGGTTTTTTTTTCCTGGATTACAGAAACATAGTGTTTGACAGCATGAGAAAAATGCTTCAAAACCTCTTGCCTGTTAGACAAAAATAAAATAAAACAAAACTAGCAAACAAACAAAAAAAAACATTAAGTCACTTTCCAGGAGGTATTTTTAATTCTTAAATGGGAGGTGGAAATATAATTTCCAAATTTGTTTATTTTCTTTAAAAAAAAAAATCTTTCTCTAAAAGGTTTTTAGAGGTTTGGTTTTAATTCAAAGTTTAGAATGGAATAAAAGGTTAAATTTTTGTCTCTGTGATGATAATGGTCCAGCTTCTTAGATTTTAAAACTGAACTGCACACGCGTGTTCAAGTAAAGCAAAGTCTTCATTTCAGTGTGATCCCTGAGCTTGCCACATTTATACCTTCTCTTTTTCACAACACGTGAAGGCTAAGAGACTGGTAAGTTTGATAAAATTTGGCACCTTATTATATAATTAATTAGACTTTCCATTTTAAAATAATAGAAGACAATACATTCTGAAACAAGGATCTAACAAATGGCAGTAAGAACAAGGACAAAACCAAGCCATGGATAGTATTTACTGCTAGATTCAAAACCCCTTTTGCATCCACAAAAAAGTTTTATCAGATGATAAAGCTCTTTAGAGGGCTCTTCTGGCTGTTGTTACTATGATTTTGTCTAAACAGCAACACTGATAAAGATGCTTTCTCTCCAGAGGGACAAAACATTGAGAGAGTGCTCAGAAGATCACCCTTTCCCCAAGGCCTCTGTCTGAACTGGCCTTTAAACGGCTGGAGAGGCTGAAGCCAAGCCAGACTCCTTCAGCTTACAGCATGCACGGACACAGTGGTTTACAGAAAAACCTAATGGCCTGGAAGGATCCTTGCAGCTAGAGTACTCTTCGGAAAATAAATAGAAACCCTCCTTCATCCCATTTGATTCCTCTGCAATTCAACCCCTGGGAGCTGTGCTGTTAGCCATGATAGTGGAGAGAGTGTAATATTGGGGTTCAGGGTGCCTTCAGCTCCCCTGAGAGGATGTTTCTCCAGGTTCTTGGTCTCCTGCCCTCTCAAGAATGAGAGAGGGGACCACGGTGCAGTGCGCAGTAAATGCCAGACTCAAAAGTGTTTGTAGGAAGTGATTTATTTAAAGAGAGAGAGAAACAGCTAACTCTCACATTGAGTAAGAGAATCCAGAAAGATGGAATCCAGGAGAGGAAAGCAGCTTCCACGAGAGTGTTAGGGAATAGAGAGAGATGGAGTTTAGGAGAAGACAGGCTTCCATGAGAGTGTGGAAAGAGACCCCAGAGGGGAAATCCAGGAGAGAGACAGCGTCCGTGAAGGGAGCATAGGGAGTGTTCGTGGAAGGGGACCCAAACATGGAGTCTGAAGGGGTGTGGAAGAAGGGGACTTTCAACCTGGGAAGAACCCCCACCTCCTCTGAGACCCCAGGCCAACGAAAGGAATTCCTTAGAACTTCCGCTGGAGTGATTGACTCTTAATTTATTCCCACGCCCAAGAAATTTAAACATAAACTGCTAAATCTCCTGGATGGAGAGAGAAGGGAGAGGGGCGTGGCGCTGGGAAATTCTTGCCCTTAAAACTATGCCCCACTGTGTTCCCAGAAAGACAACACATTCCCTCAAGATCATGGGCAGTGAGGGCCACTTCTGGGTCTGTCATGTCTTTGGAAGCAGGGCCGCCCCCCACCCCACCTCCGTTCTTGAGAGTGCCTCATTCTTCATAGACATTCTGAAGGAAGGAGAGTGAGGAAGATTCCTAACTGAGGGCTGAGTATGCAGACACAACTGGGTAATATCCAACACTATGATTATGTTTAGTAGGGTTCATTGAAAACGGAAAAGAAAAAGGCAAACAGGCGCAACTGATGAAAGCAAACAACCAACCATAAAGCAAGTTAAAACTATCGAAGGAGTGATATTGTTGGTGAGTTGGAGAGCTAGCTATCGTCTGAAAATGATAATATCAAAATTTTATTTATACAAGTAAAGGGAAGGGTTAAGCAAATATATGGTCATTTCAGAAAAGACTTTCAAGCTCCTGCCAATGAGGAAAAAGAGGTTTTAAAACTAAATTGCTCGATTTCTCTATCTCCTCTGATTAGTTTGGCCGAGAAAGAGTGAATCTCTGCCATTTTGTCTGTGTTGGCATTCATTATATACTAAAT